GGCCTAGACCCTTTTTCTGAAGAAGGGTCTAGGCCCGAAACGTCAGCTTTCCTGCTCCTCTGATGCTGCTTGGCCTGCTGTGTTCATCCAGCTCTACACCTTGTTATCTCAGAGTATATAGGGATTTGCTGTTACCACTCAAAAGAAAAACGAATGAGAGGAATAGATTTAAAGTGATGTGCAAAAGAAGCAAGGTTGATGTGAGAAGAAAACTTTTTCACACAGTGAGGAATTTAGGGTCTGGAATGCAATGCCTGGAAATGTGCTGGAGACAGCTTCAATTGAGGCAGCCAAGAGGGCATTATTTGATTATTTAGACAGAAATGGTGTGCAGGGATGTGGGGAAAAGGCAGAGATTGGCGCTAGGAATAGAACTGGTGCAGGCAAGATGGGCTGAATGGTCTCCTTCTGCACCATAATGATTTTATGATTCTGGAGTTAAAGATTATCAAATTAGCCATGATACCATTGAATGGTAGCGCAGAATCAATGGGCTGAATGGCTGACTTCAGGTCCTACATCTTATAGTCTTAGGAGGCCATTCGGCACATCCGGTCTGTTCCATAGGGAAGAAAGGTGAAAGTGATGTTTCATATGAGTCACTGCTAAGCCAACTGTTGATTTATTTATAAATGCAGATAATCAGGATAAAGGCAAAAAGTTTTTAGAGAGGACAAAAAGTGGAGGTTTTTCCTGTATCAAAAGACTGTGAAATACTTTGGGAACACACTGGTGGGAGAGCCAATTTAATGTGGATAAGTGCTAAGTTTGGTGTATACTATCCGATTTTAAATATTTACTTTATATATATCATTTGTTTGAAGTTTGAATTTTTAAAGTTTTGAATTAGTACAAGGGATTTTCTGCATGTCTGTAGAATTTAATGACTAACTTGTTGATATTTCTGTAGACATGACTTTTCTTTTAAAACAACTTGAAGGAGTTAGGTTTCAGAACTAATGGGTTTTTGTATTGAGTTTACTATCAAGCAAGGTAAACAATTCTGTGTCAGTGTGTCTGTTAGAAAAGTCTGGAATTGTCTTTATATACAAGCTTAAAGGAAATGACCGTAACTTGAAAAAGTCTTTTTTTTTTAATTTTCAGTTTTGGGACAGTTCTGTAGTCATCCTTGGATGTAGATTGATGTTTAAAGCAGTGCTCCAGAGGAAAGGTGAAGATAGAACAATAGATTACATATGAGTATGAAGTCTAGGAATAGTGCCAGAGTAGAAGTATTTGGATACAACCCTGAAGAGGTTATTTGAAGCTGAGAACATTTAAACTCGGGGATATGAGAATTTGAGGAAAAACAATACAATTTCGAGACTGAAAGTTGAAGTCACATTTAACAGTGCATATTAATGTGTTAGGAAAAAGAGATTTTGCTTTCTGGAGGGAATAAGGGGATTGGTGAAAAAGATTTTGTTTAATTTATGGGAATATGTTATTGTTTATTTCAGAACCTTTTGAGTGCATTAAGTAAATAGTTTGATTTATTCTATTTTTATCTTCATTTCTTTTGCTTAATAAACTTTTTTGTTTGTTTATTTGTTTTGTTGTTAAGACCAAATCTGCAATGTTGCATGCTTATGTTTCAATGAGAGACCACTATGTTAAAACAAAAACAAAACAAAATATCAAGCCAGATTTCAGTCCGGGATCTGACTTGTCCAGTGAGAACATCACCTGCAATTATTACAGAAGTAATAAATTTTGAGAAGGAAAAATGAACTGGGAGTAAAGGACAAGGGGGAAAAAAATTGGACAACTCTGGATGAACAGAAAGATCTAGGCATTCAAAAATTTCAATCTGTGCAAAATTTGCAAGGAGAAAAGAATTGCAAAAGCAAAGGATCAAAGGAACTTTGGGATTTTGTAGACTATTTGACAAGGACGTTGTAGATGGAGCTTTACTTTGTCCCCATCAAAGACTCCCAGGACAGATACAGCATGGGGTTAGATATGGTGTTGAGGGAGCTTTGCTCTGTATCTAACCTTGTGCTGTACCTGTCCTGGGAGTCTCACTGGACAATGTCGAAGGGGCTTTAGTTTCAGTTTAAAAGAGTATGTAACACTATGCTGTACCTTTCCTGGGAGTATTTGATGGGAACAGTGTTGAGGGAGCTTTTACTTTTAGTTTACTGTCAGTTTAAAAGATGAGAAAGTGATTAATGAAGATGATGTCAGGGGAAGATTTCTTTTCAGATTAAAAGAGCAGAGTTAGCTTTAAAGTGTAACTAACCCCATGCTGTCCCAGTCCTGAGAGTGATTGATGGGAATGCTGTACAGGAAGATTTACTTTCAGCTTAAGAGTAGAGGGAGCTTTTACTCTGTATCTGTCCTTGTGCTGTGTCTGTCCTAGAGTTGATTGACGGAGACACTGTAAGGGGAGCCTTTATTCTGTATCTAACCCCATGCTGTTGCTCTCATGGGAGTCTTTAATGGGAACAGTTATTAGGGCGCTTTACCCTTAATCTAATCATTGTTGTACCTGACCTGGAAGTTTGCATTCACCCACTCTCCTCTTTTGCCATTCAGTGCTGAATGACCCCAGATGGTGCCAGATTTTCATTTCAGCTAGGTTAGCTGGTTCTTGCTTCGGTGGTTCTAAAGATGCTAAATGGACATAATGCTGTTACATCAATGGGAAATGACAGACCAAGTTGCCGCTCTTGATTATAAGGTAGTGAGTCCTGAGTTGTCATTGAGAATTGAATTGTATTTCATTCCATTATCAAATATCTTAGGCACAATATTACCTTGAGTTGCCAATGAACACTGACACTTGGACAAGAGGCCGGGTATAACTGGTCATAACATTTGGAGCCCGTATACTGGTAAGAGTTGAAAGTGTTAATAATCGGTAGGAGTGACAGCTGAAGAGGTGGGTTGGTAGGGTAGAGAAGGTTTGAATCATTATTTCCCTTGGAAATTCAAAGATTGAATTATGACCTTTATCTTTCTGTCTTGTCTGCTTTTTATCAGGGATTCACTGCGGCAGATACATCACCTCTCACGGGCTAGCACTGAACTGCAACAATGACCTCAGCTGGTTCTCCCACATCACCCCTTGCGGTATTGAGGGAAAAGGTGTCACCTCCCTGAGCCGAGTACTGAAGAGGGAGGTGACAGTGCCAGAAGCTGTGGACCCTCTCCTGGAGACATTTGCCAAGCAGTTTGACTGCATGCTAAGGCACTAGCAACTTGACTGTTTCCTGTCGAGTGTCCACACAGCGAGAAACCCAACCAAAGTGGCAGGCTTGGTGGGCAGGGATGGGTGAGACTGATGGGGTCGTGTAAGAAAGAGGTGGGACTTGATCCTGTACTTTGTATCTTATCTCCAGGGAATGTGATTATTAGAGGAAAGCAGCCATATGGGGAATGATGCTGTCTAGTTGAAGTACTGAACTGTATAGAGGAAGAGATGTCCCAGGTCCAAGCAGCAGTTCTGGTCTTAGCAGGACATATATTAAAACTGGTGAGTGGTAGGGAAAATATTGGCTGGAGGCTCTTCAGGTTTATAAAATTAATTCACAGGATGCCCATGTCACTGGCTAGGCCTGCACTTTTTTCCTGTCCATAATTGCCCAGGAGGAGTCGTTGCTTTATTGAAATGCTGCTTGAAACCCACAATGCTATCAGGGAAGGAATTCCAGGATTTTGATCCAGTGATGGTGAAGGAACAGTAATGTATTTCAAAGTCAGAAAAGTGTGTGTGATTGGAGGTAAAATTGCAGGCAGTGATGTTCCCATGTACTTGCTTCCCTTGTCCTTTTCGGTGGTGGAGGTCACGGGTTTGGAAGGTGCTGTTGGAGAAGCCTTGGTGAGTTGCTGAAATACATTCTATAAATACTATATACCGCTGCCACTAATTGTCAGTGGTGGATGGAATGAATGTTTGAGGGTTTGGTGCCAATGCAGTGGGCTCCTTTGTTCTGGATTGTATCAAGCTTCTTGAGTGTTGTTGGCCCTGTACTCATTCAGGCAAATGGGGGGTATTCCATCACACTCCTGACTTACTTGCCATAGAATTGCTAGCATTGCCCAACTGTGTGCAACAGGACTGTGCTGCAAAACTGTATATTGTAGTCGAATGCGGAGATGAATTTCACTGATGAAGAATGTTAACTTGTATAAATTGGAACTATGTTTTGTGTCATCCTCAGGATGGGAGATCAGGGATTCTAATCATCCAGAAAAATATTAAAGCTTATATGCATTTAAATCGAGACCCTCATAATTTTTATTTTTATTCATATTTATATTCTTGGGCAATTATCTCCCAACTACACATGCCCCATTTTAAATGTTGAGAAGTACTATAGGCTGACTTTGATTTTGTTTGGTGAAAAAAAAAATCACTTTTTAATTTTGTTTTTTCAGTAGGGATGAATTATGATATTGGACAATTAGTTGAGAATTTTTTTTATTCATTCACGGGATGAAGGCATCGCTGGCTAGGCCAACATTTATTGCCCATCCTTAATTGCCTAGTTAAGCATCACTCTCAATGGTGTAGGCCTGGAGTCACATGTAGGCCAGACCAGGTAAGGATTGCAGTTTCCTTCCATAAAGGGCATTAGTGAACCAGATGGATTTCCCAACAATCGACAATGGATTCATGGTCATTGCTAGATCTTAATTCCAGATTTTTATTGAATTCAAATTCCACCATCTGCCCTGGCAGGATTCGAATCCAAGTCCCCGGGTCATTACTCAGGTCTCTAGATTAGCAATAATACCACTAGGCTGACGCCTTCCCACATCATCTAACATGTTGACTTTTAAATAAAATTTTTCAGAAAATGTTTGAAAACAGTTTAATACCTAAACGTTTACTGTTCTTGAAGTTTTCCTTTTAACCTCTCCATCTCTCTCTTTCTCTCAAGTTCAAAATTGATTTTCTTCTTCACTCATAGCTCATGCTCCACAGCCACAAATCCCAGCCGCTGCTGTTTGAATTGGCCCAAGGCTCTTGCATGTGTTGTTTGTCAGTTTCATTTACTCTTCCCTCTCTCTGATTCACTTTCTTTTCTCTCTCTTTTTGTTTTGTGTCTCTTGTTCAAACAGCTGTTAACGATGCTTGTCAGGAGCGTCAGCTTACTTGCTTTGAAAACGTGCAGCAGTCCTTTTAAACACTGTGCTTAAAATAGTTTTTTTCCCATTTCAATTTTAAAAAGCACAAAAATAAAAAGACATGGTCTTTACAGTATATGACAGTGACATATTCTATTTCTTACACTCTTGGGAAGTGCCTTGGGATTTGTATTACTTAAAGGTTAATGTGATTAATGTTTTGGGAACTTGGAGATTTAGAAGCATTTGGCTTTCTTTTATTCATTCATAGTATGTAGGCATTGCTGGTTAGACCATTATTTGTTGTTCATCCCTAAATGCACTAGAAAAGATGGCCGTGAACTGCTTTCCTGAACTGCTGCAGTCTGTGGGACGTAGGGATCCCTACAATGCCATGGGGAAGACAGTTCCAGGATTTTGATCCAGTGACCCTGAAGGAACGGTTATTGTATTTCCAAGTCATGATGGTGAGTGGCTTGAAAGAGAGCTTGAGAGAACTTGTAGATGGTGATGTGCCCAGGTATCTGCAGCCCTTGTCCTTTTGGTGGCCGAGGTCGTGAATTTGAAAGCTGCTGCCAAAGGTACCTTGACAACAAGATGCAGGGCTGGATGAACACAGCAGGCCAAGCAGCATCATAGGAGCAGAAAGGCTGACGTTTCGGGCCTAGACCCTTCATCAGAAAAGGGTCTGATGAAGGGTCTAGACCCGAAACGTCAACCTTTCTGCTCCTATGATGCTGCTTGGCCTGCTGTGTTCATCCAGCCTTGCACCTTGTTGTCTCGGATTCTCCAGCATCTGCAGTTCCTACTATCGCCAAAGGTACCTTGGTGAGTTACTGTCATGTTGTCGATGGGACACACTGCTGCCACTGTGTGTTGCTGGTGGAGGGAGTGAATTTTGAAGGTGATCTATGGGTGTGTGATTCAATCAACCGTTTTTGGGTAATTACTACAAACTGTAGCGTGGTGAGGAACATTTACTGTAGTACCATGTAAGTCCAGAGGATGGCGGTGTGTAACCACACTGAATTGTGCATCTTTACAAACACGATAACACAGGAAGAAGCCATTTGGCCCATCGTGCCTGTGCCTTATCTCACTCCCCTGTCCTTTCCCCCATGACCTTATAAAATCAATCCCTGTAAATATTTATCTAATGCTGTTTTTGTTACTTCAATGTTCAATGCTCTTCAATGACGTGGATTGGAAAATCTAGGACTGTTCTCCTTGAAGGATAGAAGGTTGAAAGGAGATTTAATTGAGGTGAATAGGGAGAAACTATTAAACTGGGGGAAGGATGGAGAGGCAAAGGGCACAGATTTAAGCAGATTGAGATATTTTTAATGAGTAAGGGAATCAAGGATTTTGGGCGGAAAATCACAGGAAACTGAGTTGAGGGTTATCAGATCAGTTATGATTTCATTGAACAGTGGAGCAGACTTGGTGGTTGAATGGCCTACTTCTCCTTCGACTTTTATGGATTGGCAAAAGAAGCAACGGAGACATGAGGAGCTGTTTCACACAGTAAGTGGTTACGATCCAGAATGTGCTGAGTGAAGTGTTGTAGAGGCAGATTCAGTTGAGGCATTTAAGAGGGAAGTGAATTATTATCTGAAAAGGAAGAATGTGCGGGGTTACAGGGAGAAAGCACTAGGCACTAGTTGAATTGGTATTTAAAGAGCTGGAATAGATGCAATAGACTGAGCGATCTCCTGTGCTGTAACCATTTAGTGAACCTAAGCCGTTTTGACCAATGTGCTTCCAGGCATCCCACTCCATAACACAACAGCTGCTTTGTCAAAAGATATTTTCCCTTGCCTCCTTTGACTCTCTTGCTATAAGAATAATTGCAATTTCTCCAGTCTCTCCACATGACAGAAGCCCCTCATGCCTAGGACCATTCCAGTAAAGCTTAGGTGCTCGAGAGCTGAAATGTAGCAGGAAATTCTGGAAGCGTTAAGCAGGCCAGGCAGAATCTGTGCAGAAAAATACAGAACTAAGGTGACAAGCGTTAAAAAAAAAATGCAAAGATTGGATAAGCTGTCTTCCCATCTTCCAACTTAAATGACCATTCTACCACTTGATGTTTGGCAAGAGGAGAAGTTAATGGCCTTACCATCAAAAGATGAGGCTGAGACCCGAGTGAAGGGTGAGGCTGGGAAGAGAGTGGGGACGAGGGGCTGTAGGGCAAATTAAAGATAAACTTTGGCAGCACAGTGACTCAGTGGTTAGCACTGCTCCTTCTTAGCGCCGGGGACCCGGGGTTCGATTCCAGCCTCGGGCAACTATCTGTGTGGAGTTTGCACGTTCTCCCGGTGTCTGCGTGGGTTTCCTCCGGGTGCTCTGGTTTCCCCCCACTTTCCAAAGATGTGCAGGTTAGGTGGATTGCCCATGCTAAATTGTCCACAGTGTCTAGGATAATGGGTGCATCTGGGTGGGATGCTTTTCGGAGGCTCGGTGTGGGTTCAATGGGCCGAATGGTCTCCTTCCACACTGTAGGGATTCTATGATTCTGTGAATCCAGCTGTCTAATAAACTAGATCAGATAATTAGTCAAGCTAAAAATATGAACTTGGCTACTTAAATACATAAAATTTAATTAAAGCAGTTCAACGGATGCTCTGCAATTGCAGCCAATGGAACCTAGCTGGGAAAGGAAACTGTCTGAATAAAGCAATAAACAGTCTGCTAAAGCATATCAACCGATTAAGTGAGTGGGCAAGAATGTGATATTATTATAGAGGCAGATCCCTTGGTCAGGTCACCAACTTCAAATGTTCACTTTTTCTTCATGGACGCTGACAGACTTCAGACCATAAGAAATAGGAACAGAACTAGGCATTTGGCCCCTCGAGCCTGCTCCATCATTCGAAAGGATCATTGGCTGATCCGATATTCCTCACGTCCACTTTCCTGCCCTTTCCGCATAACCCTTGGGTTGATCCTTGACTGATCAAGAATCTATCTCAGCCTTAAATATAGACATGGACTCTGCCCCACAGCTTTCTGTGGCAAGGAGTTCCAAACACTCAACCCTCTGAGAAAAGAAATTCCCCTTATGTCAGTCTTAAATTGGTGCCCCTTTATTCTAAGACTATGTCCTCTGGTCCTAGACTCTCCCATAAGGGGAATATCCTCTCAGCATTTACCCGGTAAAGCCTCTTAAGAATCCTATGTTTCAAGTAGATCTCTTTCTCTCATTCTTCTAAACTCTAGTGAGTACAGTCCCAACCTGTTTAGCCATAGCTCATAAGACAATCCCTCCCATACTGGGGATCGTCCTAGTGGACATTTTCTGCGCTGCCTCCAATGAAATAATATATTTCCTTAAACAAGGAGACCAAAACTGCTCTCAGTGCTCCAGATGTGCTCTCACCAGTACCTTGTACAGTTGCAGCAAGACTTTTCTACTCTTATATTCCAACACCCTTCAAATAAGAAACCAAAAGAACTACAGATGCTGGAAATCAGAAACAAAAACAAAGTGCTGGAAAATTTCGGCAGGTCTGGCAGCATCTGTGGAGAGAAATCAGAGTTAATGTTTCGGGTCCAGTGACCCTTCTTCAGAATGGGTTCTGAAGAAGGAAAGGTTGCTGGACCCAAAACTTTAACTCTGATTTCTCTCCATATATTGCTGCCAGACCTCCTAGTCACAGTCATACAGCATGGAAACAGACCCTTCAGTCCAACCAGTCCATACCGAAAATAATCTCCAGTCTAAACTAGTCCCATCTGCCTACTCCTGGTCCATATCTCTCCAAACCTTTCCTATTCATATATCCATCCAAATGTCTTTTAAACATTGTAATTGTACCCACATCCACCACTTCACCAGGAAATTCATTCCACACGTGAGCCAACCACTGTGTAAAAAAAATTTGCCTCGTGTTCTTTTAAAGTCTGTCTTCTCTCACCTTAAAAATGTGCCCCGTAGTCTTGAAATTCCTCATCTTAGGGAAAAGACAACTACCATCAACTCTATCTATACCTCTCGTTGTTTTATAAGCTCCTTCAGGTCACCTCTCAACCTCCTACGCTCCAGTGAAAAAAGTCCCAGCCTTTCCTTATAAATCAAACCTTCCATACCCGGTGCTGAGATTTTCTGGCAATTTCTGTTTTTGTTGCCCTTGAAATAAGGCCCAACATTCCATTA